TGGACTTATCAATAGGGCTCAGCTCCCGCACACAGGTACAACGTGGTACAGTGCTGGTGCGCAACGCATTCCCAGACTACATTTCGTCGGACGATTGGCCCCCAAACAAACCTGGCCTACATCCATTGGACTATCCTGTGTGATCAGTTCTTAAGAGGAAAGCCTGCTCTACTAAGCATAGAAGTTTCGATGCTCTATGTGCAACCCTTGTTGAAGCATGGGAGAATTTGGACGAAGTGTACCTCCGTGCCGCCGTCGACCTATTCGCTAGTAGAATTTTAGCCTGTATTCGCGCAAAAGGAGGCTATTACGAAATCTAGGTTGTTTTCGTGATCTATAAAGCTGGTGATAAATGCTGTTGGAGTTGTGTCATGAACCGATCGATTTGACCATTTACGATCATGTTCACCGTTGCCAGAACTTTTGCCGCACCCTGTAGAACTCATGCAGAAAGACTGTCGTGATCAGTGAAGGGCATGCTTCACCAAGAAATTTGTGAGGCTAAGGTTTAGGAACAAATTGGACAAGGAGCTAAAGGAGTAGTTCAAGCAGGGATAAACCTCCCTTACCGATTTACGATTGTTTAGACCTACCTCGAACATGTGCCATTATCAGCGAGAAGGAAATATGAATGCCGATCGTTCAATACACCCATACCATGTGATGATCCAAATGCATGTGGATCGTATTGTACATGAGCGTCCTTTGCGATCTGAACTGAGAAATTCTCATTTAAAGCAACAGAGGGAATCCTCATTTAATATACAAAGGACAGATTGATCAGCGTTGGATAGTTATTCCAACATGCGCTACACATTCACATGCACTCGGAAAAGGTCGCTGTAGGAGCCAATTCTCCTTAATTTTCAGATAGGTGTTCGGAAATCAATGAAAGACTCTTAGAGGTTCAGGTTTAATGACCATAACATCTTCGGATTCACGAAAAGAGGACTGAGACGTTTGATCCTCCCAATCTGCTGTTCATCGAGAATTTATTCGACTCGTTTCATAGGATCAGAATACATTCAAAAAAGGTATGGTTTCATCTTGGGGCGTGTATGACATTCGTTTTCAGACAAGGAGTTTTGCCATCCTCCCTTGAGAAATGGGTTCAGATGGCGGCTGTGACACTCATACTGAATATGAGTATTTGATGAGTTCCTGGTTCTTATTCTTGTTTTGATTGCATTAGTTTTGCCCACGCTCTGCAGTCATTTACTCAATGAATGAATAAGTACTTA